AAAAAAACAAAATTATAAATAAAAAACATCTATACAAAATATAAAAGTCAAAATTATGGAATATTTACATCATTATTGAAACTTCCACGTATCAAATCATACTCAATCATAAAAATTCTACTTAATTTTTTATCAAAGAGCAAGACTCGGTGTATTAAGAATTGTTGTGGTGCACCAATGTTTTTGCCCTTTACAATCAAAAGGAAATGGTTGATATTCCACGAGTAAAATAGTTTTTTAATAGAGTTTAATTGACATTATTAATTTATGTAGATAAATTAATCTCTTTATATTTTTATTGCATAGCAGAACTATTAATATATATTTTAAAACAAAAAAACAAATAACTTGGGGAAAGGGGTCTTTCTTTTTTCAAACAATATACTTACATAACCACCCTTGCAATTTTATTTTTCTTGAAACTTGGTATTTATGTGTTTTCATATTTTAATTTAGTTTTTTTTATAATTATTAATTATAGTTAGGGACATGCAGGTCTTTTGAATATATTTAGAAAATTATCGGCATGTACAATACACACACTAGTGAGTTTACAAAATCCGTACACATTAGGTGGCTTATGCAAGCTCCTATGTTCACTAAACAATATTTTTCAAACCAATATCTTTTCAAGGGTATATTGTTCATGCTAAATTAATTAATATATTTTTTTAATGGAAATATGAATAATAAAAACAAAAAAAGCCACATGTAGTCCATGAATTTGTAAATTGAATACTTTGGTGATATTTTTGAAGTTTTCTAAATGTTTTTGTAAGATGAAGGGTATGCCTATTTTTGCAATAAAATATGATTTTGAAAAGTTTTAGATTTATTTTGCTTCAAATTATTTTATTTTTATATTTTTGAATTGTTATAATATTTTTTTTTTAAAATTTAATTTATTTTTAAATAAAAATACTTTATAAAAAAAATTAATTTATTTTTAAATAAAAATACTTTAAAAAATAACTATATCAAATAACTGCCGAAATAAATGCATCCGATGGTCTGTATACAATTTTCTAGGAACCTTTTAAATTAAAACAAATATAGAGGACGGAATAGACCTAGTTACGGTAGTACGAGGACCATGTTTGATTTTGGGTTTCAAAGCCAAACTAGAAAACCTAATACTATAAAGACGTCCTTATGCTAAGCCGCAAGCAAAGAAGCAAAATAAAGAAATGGGAAGCGGGAAACCAGAAATACACTCAAAGACAAAGGGGAAGAAGGGGTTATCTCTCAGAAACCCTAGTAAAAAAATCAACTTCAAGAAGAAAAAGGGTATCAACAAGAAGACTGACCAATCCAAAAACGAAGAAAACCAGAACAAGAGCGAGGCTTCTACACCAGCTTCAGCTTCCCAGCAGCTTAGTTTTTTCATAAACGAGTTTCAATCTGCCAATGGGGTTCAGCTTTCATCTATTGAGCTCGAATCAATTAAGGGTATTTCTTTTCTGTTCTTTTCTTTTCGTTTTTTTATTGTTTGTGTTTGTTTGGATCCTGATACATTGATGATGCAGAGACCTGCTTTGTTGAGTTATCTCAAGAATCGGGTCAAGATGTTATGGCCTTAGGGAGCCACATGAAGGCGGCTTTTGGCCCATCTTGGAAACAAGTTCTTTGTGAAGGGAAGTTGGTGGAAGGCATTATTGATCCGGGGAGTCCTGCTGTTCTTATTATTTCTACATCTGCCTTGAGATCTCTAGAACTTCTAAGGTCCGTTGTTTTTTTTCCCCTGTTCTCGCTAATTAGATATGATTTGAATTTAGCTAATTGATGTTAAGTAGTTTCTGTAGTTTTGAACATTTATTTTTTGAAAGCCTAACGTATTAACAAGTGAAAATCTTCTTCCTCTAGGGGTGTGCGCTCTTTGACGAAAGAATGTCATGCTGCGAAGCTATTCTCCAAGCATATGAAGGTCGAGGAACAGGTTATTTCTTGGTCTTTTCTAGCTCTTTATTTTTATTTTTGAATGGATACATTATGTAGGTTTCCCTTTAAAAATATTCCTCTGGTTGATATTTTTTTATAAGAATTGTTAAAGCTTTATGATTTTCTAAGGAAATAGATCTTTCGGTTTACATATTGTTTATAGTGTTTGCGAAAGTATCAGTCATTTTTCTTGATGTTCATATCCTTGGATTTGTTGATTCTTTTTGCTCTTGAGCTGTGACAGTAGTCTGGTTATTACTAGTAGAAAATGGCCATTTCTGTTAATATTATATTGTTGAATATCCACTTCTGATTCATTATTTGGGTTTTCACGTGATTATAAGAATATGTTATCTTGCTACTATACACACGAGCTGTAAGTTTCATGCATCAAGTATTTGATGAAGAAGAGAAGTGAAAATACTGTCTCACTGCTTTTCCTCTTTTATCTCGGGTTCCTGCTGTTTTCTCTTTGGTTTTTCCATTCAATTTAGCAACAATAATTGTGCAATTTTTAATTTTAAACATATCTAGTTTTTTCGTTCTTTCTTTTATCATATGTTCTCTATGTTGTGAAGTTGGGAAACGATTAAAGTTACAACAGTTTATTAAAGGAGCTATCGATGCTGAATAATCATTTGCACGTCAGTCTGATCCTGAAATTACACTGATTATGACTATTTTTCTACCTTTTCGTGCTCATTGGGATTTCTACGTGTGTTTTGATTCCAATCTACTTTAATGACCTCCAATGAGTCTGCAATGTCTGTTGTGAGATGGCTTGGTTTGTCATTTTTTACCCTTTATCATATGTTCACTTTGTGAAGTTGGGAAATGATGAAAGTTACAACAGATTATTAAAGGAGCTATTGATGCTGAATAATCATTTGCACGTCAGTCTGATCCTGAAATTACACTGATTATGACTATTTTTCTACCTTTTCGTGCTCATTGGGATTTCTACGTGTGTTTTGATTCCAATCTACTTTAATGACCTCCAATGAGTCTGCAATGTCTGTTGTGAGATGGCTTGGTTTGTCATTTTTTACCCTTTATCATATGTTTGCTTTGTTGTGAAGTTGGGAAATGATGAAAGTTACAACAGATTATTAAAGGAGCTATCGATGCTGAATAATCATTTGCACGTCAGTCTGATCCTGAAATTACACTGATTATGACTATTTTTCTACCTTTTCGTGCTCATTGGGATTTCTACGTGTGTTTTGATTCCAATCTACTTTAATGACCTCCAATGAGTTCTCAACGTCTGTTGTGAGATGGCTTGGCTTGTGATTTGTGATTTTTTCTGTTACTTTCCTTTTTTTTTTATGGGTTTGGATGTGAAGCCAAAACAGAATGTCAGAGGCTTTCAGCACTGGTGATATTTTGCACGTCAGTCTGATCCAAAATAAAGTATTTTATGCACTAATTTATCTAATTTTAACAACTGATCTCATCTGATCTGAAATGAAGTATTTTATGCACTAATTTATTTATTTTCACAACTGGGCTCATTAATTTTTTTGTTGATTCATGCTTTAGCACCTCCCTTTTTCATCATTATTCTCTAGGATTTTTGTTCCTGTTTTGAATTTTTGAAGTTCAGTCTCATCCAAAAATCTCTGTTTTTATATTTATTTTTGTTTTGTTTTCTAACTTCACTTCTGTCCATCAGCAATAAGTCCATGGTAAGATTGCATGATTTGTTTTTTAGCAAGTTCGGGTATGATGACAAAACAAATTATCAGAGGCTTCAGCACTGCTGAATTGTTATTTTGCACGTCAGTCTGATCCGAATAAAATCTCAGTGGTTCTGACTTCGTTGTCTATTTCCTATGGACTCCTTTATTTCTTTTGAACAACTGGTTCACTGATATTTTTTGTTGTATGAATCGCATTTTGTGGTCTGTTTCTTTTTTACCATTCTGTCAATTTTATTACTGTCCAAAGCCTAGGTTGCGATTTGCAAACGGACTTTGAAAGAATTTACACCCATATTTGACCTCAAAATGTGCCCCTGGATATAGTTTTGTTTATATATCTATATTTTTAATTACGGTTTTGAATTTTTTCCCCATCATTTTAACAATTTTTGTGATTTTTGATAAATCCATCATTTTCTGTGTGGTGAATACCTTTTTTTAATGTTTGGGACATGATGAGAAAATTAATCGGAGGCACCAGCTCTGCTGAAATTCTATTTTGCACGTCAGTCTGATCCCAGAACTTAGTTCTCTGATTCTATCACATACAATACCGTTCTTAAACCAAGGGACAAAATCCATCCTGTGGTCACTGGTCATTTATATAACTGATAACGGGATGTGGATAGTTTTGTCATTTTCTTATAGGTACATTACCAAATCAGTGGTCAATTTTCTTCTTTTTTTGTCTGGTTTCCTGTTCTTCAACAATGGCATTTTCCTTTTCTTATATTTTTCAGTATATGTTCAATCTGCCCTTCACTTCTTGACGCAAGCTCGTATAAGCTTAATAGAAGTGAAAAAAAATGATCTTTTCAATTTCTTTTGGCTGGCTCCTTAGTTATAACATGAAATAAGAGAGTTCTCTTGCTTTTGACTGGAGTTTTTGTTTCATAACATGTTTAACCACAGCAATATAGAAAACCATCCAGGCTCTTCCTTTCAATTTCTGATGCTCTATAGTCAGGGATGACTATCTAAGGGATAACCAAGTATCCTAGAACCATGGAAAAGGAAATAGGTAGATACCGTTGAAGAGATTTAGTTTCTGAGGTTCAAATGGGTGGTTAATTAAGAGGCAAATTTCTTACTAGTTGCCTAGGACAGGCTACCTATATCTACAAATCAAAGATGCTCCAATCTTATAAACTGAGATGAAAATGCTCCTATCTGTATGTTGGTGTTCAAGAAAATTTTATATTATCTCTTCAGAGAAAAGCTTCTGTAATCTGTTCGGAGAAGAAATTGCTTACTTGCATTCACTATTGGATACATTAAAATTTCTGCTTGCATTCCATATTCTAGGTCTCACATACCACTTCCGTTTTAACTATCTGTGACTTTTTTTTAATAACATTTATTTTCTTTCTGAAACTTCTATGGTCATTGCAGATAGCCATGTTGAAGAACCGCGTAAATTTTGCTAGCGGCACACCCAGCAGGTGAGTCATCCATGTATTATGTTAAAGTAGCAATATAGTAATAGGAATCATACCAGTTTTGTTTGTTAAAAAAAGATGCCGACTCTGTCGAACATTATGGCCAAATTCACCGGACACCTTCTCGTTCTATGCCATAATATTTTAAAGGGTGGTGTTTCTTTACTTATTTTCTTCTGTTACTAACTACATTTCCATATTTCTAACGGGGTTAACACATATTAGCTTTCAAATTTAATTGATAGAAATGAGTTCCTAATAATTCTTTCATCTTTACTATTTCAAGGGTAAAGAAGTTGATCGACATTGAGGCACTGGGGCTCTCACGGTTAACAATGATTGTGCTTGACATGCACGCAGATGTTAAGGGTTATTCATTGTTTACCCTTCCGCAAGTCAGGTACAATCTGGTTTTGATTCTCTCTTTATATTGTTTGAGGTGATTTTATTTCCAACAATGTCTTATCAATGCCGCAAACCCCTCCCCCCCTCTATCCTCTTTCTGTATTTATTTTATTTGGCAGGGACGAGTTCTGGGACTTGTATAAAGATTTCTTTCATCAACGACTATTGCAAGGCCATCTACGCATCTGTCTATTTGGTCCTATACCAAGCGCAAACGGTAAGGAGTTCAAGGGTAAAAAAGAAGAGTCCCTACTGAACAAGTAACAGAACCTCAGTTATAAATTTTGAGCTGTGTATTATTTTTAACTTTACTGGATTCCATGAAATGTTATACCAGCTTTATCTTCTCAGTACTCAGAACTCCAAATTCCCATCACTCTGAATATGGAGGGAAAGAAGCTTCCCTCCGTTTATTTAAGCTGACCAGTACATTCTACTGCCTGGTGGGGTGAGACAACAGGGATACATCATTCTACATTATGTCCAAGGCGGGCTGTGACAAGATTCGAACCCATTTTCATGGTTTCTAGTTTATATATATATATAGATGCCTCGAAACCAGGGTAGCAAAAATTGAAAAGGAATGGAATGGCACTTTTACGTTAGCATTCCCAAAAATATTTGGGCATGTCTGATGCGGACGAGTATATTTCTTCGGATGATTTTTTCAGAACCAGCGCAGGTAACTGAGTCACACGCTCGCCCATGGAGCCGAAAGCCTGGAACCTCACAAGATTTGACTTTTTTAAAGCCCTCAAAGTCAAAGCAAAGTGGTTGGATTGGTCACTTCCCACTTCTATATGTTATTGTGGAATCACCAGCACAGCTTCTAGAAGTTGACTTAGGGGGTTTAATTATGTGTCCGTGGCTATGTTTTTTTTTTAAAAAATGAATTTTTTATTTTAAATTAATGTTTTTTTATTTATTTTAATGTGAGGATATCAAATATATTTTTAAGCGAATTTTTTCACACACATAACAAACCTTCTAAAGTGATGGTCACAAATAGACTTCTCACATCAATTGAGTGCTGTCTACAAGTAATGAAAGAATAAAAAAAAAAATTGAAGGCAATGTTGGGATTTGCCTCTGATGATTATATGGTTGACTTTGATGGATGCTAGGTCAACCACAAAGGTTATTTCAGTAAATGACCTTGCCTATAATGATTATTCGTGATGCTCAACGAATGATGTTGTCACAACAATGGATACAAGCTAACATCCATCTGGGCATGTTTAAGCACTCCCGACATTTGAAAAAAAAAGAGGCTTTTTTCGCCCTTAAAATCATATTTATGACTTTCCCGGACTGTTTTCACGCACTCATGTTTAATATGTTTTAAGAAATCATTTATCTTTCTAAATTGGAGTTTTTACCTGATTTTGACTAAATAAGATTTTATTAATGTTGCTCCATGAGGTATTAGACAAACAAATGTTCATTCTAACAAAGTTTAATACACCTAAATATTGGATCTTGAAAATATTTTTAAAATTGATTTGATTTTGTAATTTTAGGTTAATTAAAATGTATTTTGTTGTTTGAAATGTATTTAGGTTCCAAACTTCATTTTCTTATATACCGTCTTTTAATCTTGAAAAAAGAGATATTAAGTTGTTGAATTTTTTTAGGAGAGAAAAACTCTTGTCGCTGAGTCCTGACCATCGATGATTTATATTTTGGTACTTATGAATTCATCTTTGAGTGAAGAACTCAATGTTTCCACCTTTAATGATTATAGAGAAAGTATATTGGATCTTGAAAATATTTTTAAAATTGATTTGATTTTATAATTTTAGGTTAATTAAAATGTATTTTGTTGTTTGAAATAAGAATATAAAGTTTCATTGAAATCTAGATTTTTTGGTTTGAAGATCTCACAACGATTTTTCAATTACTAGCGTAACCTTCTATCATCTACACAGGTAGTATATGGATGATGCATTATATGTCCAGGTGATATGTCATCCATTTTTTTCAAAATAATAATAATAAAGACACAAGATATTTTATCTATTTTTTTAAAAAAAAAACTCAAGCGTGTGGACCTAGATTTTCAAGCTCATGCATGCTTAAGTTTAAATTTAGGCAAAATACCATGTCTAATCTCCTAGTCAATGCATACATGCTCCTTTAGTTTTTCTTTTTAATTTCATTATTTTTTTATATATTTTGTCACACTTTATAATTTAATTTTTTTAAGTGAACTTATTTCAATAATGCTCAATAATGCTATTATTTTAAAAAGTTATTAGCATCTTTTATAGTAATATTAACAATTGCTTGTTGAATGATTATATATGAACCTAACATGTATAATTTTCTAATGTGGGTTACATGTTTATTTTTTATTGTTGATTTTTTATATAATATTTATGATGTTTATTATTTTTATGTTTTTTTTAATTCACATCAAAATCATGGATTCATTATGTTTTTGTATGAAAAAATTGATTTTAAGATTATGATAAGGTTTAATTAAAAAACAAAACTTCTGATAAAAAAAATTAAAAAAGTTAGTCTCTCGAGTTTTCTACTTCTTTTCAATTGGTAATTTAGCTTTTCTTCTTTTTATTTTGGTCCTTCAAGGTTATGCTTTCCTTATCCTTTATTTTTTGTTCTCTTTGGATTGCATTCTATCGTGCGTACGAGTTGTCGAAAAAAGTTCCACAGTGATATCGAGTGATGATTTTGCATGAAAAAGTTTTAAATTGTTGTGAAAATTAAGATCAAAATCAAAACTGACATTGACAAAAACTAGCAGCATGTTTTCTATGTGCATTGTTCAAGAGATGTGTAAATATACATTTTAATCCTTGATTTTAATTTTTTTTAATATTTGATCCCTTTTGTTTTTGGATCTTTTTGTTTAGGTTCCAAACTTCATTTTCTTATATACCGTCTCTTAATCTTGAAAAACGAGATATTAAGTTGCTGAATTTTTTTAGGAGAAAAAAACTCTTATTGCTGAATCCTTATCACGATGACTTATATTTTGGTATTTATGAATTCATCTTTGAGCGAAAAACTCAATGTTTCCACCTTTAATTATTCTAGAGAAAGTATATTGGATCTTGAAAATATTTTTAAAATTGATTTGATTTTGTAATTTTAGATTAATTAAAATGTATTTTATTGTTTGAAATAAGAATGTAGAGGTTTATTAAAATCTAGATTTTTTGGTTTGAAGATCTGATAGCAATTTTTCAATCACTAGCATAACCTTCTATCATCTACAAAGATAGTAGATGGACAATGCATTATATGCCCAGGAAGGTGATATCATTCATTTTTTTGAATAATAATAATAACAAAGACACACGACATGTTATTTATCTTTAAAAAAAACTCAAGCGAGTGAATCTAGACTTTCAAGCTCATGCATGCTTAAGTTTAAATTTAGGTAAAATACCAGGTCTAATCTCCTAGTCAATGTATACATGCTCCATTAGTTTTTTTTTTGTTTTGTTTTTTTATATATATATATTTTCACACTTTAAAATTTAAATTTTTTAAAGTGAACTTATTTCAATAATGCTATTATTTTAAAAAGTTATGAGCATCTTTTATAGTAATATTAACAATCTTTTTGAATGATTATATATGAACCTAACATGTATAATTTTCTAATGTGGGTTACATGTTGATTTTTTATTGTTGATTTTTTACATAATATTTATGATATTTATTATTTTTATGTTTTTTTATTAAATTCACATCAAAATCATGGATTCATTATGTTTTTGTATGAAAACTTGATTTTAAGATTATAATAAGGTTTAATTAAAAAGCAAAACTTCTGAAAAATAAAATAAAAAAAGAAGGATGTATTAATAAGAGAAAGATGTTTTGATTAAATAGACGCCTTTTTATACTTACTTCAAATTAATAACAAAAAAACTTGGATGTTAATTTTAATTTTTTTTAGGTTTTTATGCAACAAACAACATATATATATATATATAGAGAGAGAGTTTAAAAATACAATAATAAAAAATTAAATTTATAATTATATTTTTTGGGAAAATTTAAACAATTATCTTTTTTATAAAAAAACATTTTTATTATCATATAATTAAATAAAAACTATAAAACACATCTCGCATCACAAGATCAAATATCTTCAAGTGCATCTACCTCTCAGCTTTTTATTCCGGTCAGCTTTTTATTCCGGTTCTTGGTTTGCATTAATAATTCTTTTATTATTTATAATTTTATATGATTTTTAATTTATTATATGAAACACATGTATAAACTTTTAAATTTATTATATGAAACACATGTATAAACCTTTTAATTTTTAATTAATTTTTTTCACAATACTAGAAAACATGTTGTCAATGCCTGTGCCTTCTTTTTATGCCCTAGAAATTAACTTAAAATTCTTCTCACAACATCGCATAGCATGTTTAATTGGCTAGTAATTAACTTAAAATTCTACTCACAATATTTAGTTTAATTTGAAATATCTATGATTTTAATTTTGAGGGATCACATGAGGACCTATTAATTATTAATAAGAAAAACCGATTTTATAGGGATTTATTTTGGAGGGGAACCTAAATTTTATGGACATATCTCCCGCCCTTAACATCAACGTCGTTGATGTTTTCAAAAAGTTTCAATATGATCCCTCAATTTTAAAATGTTCAATATCATGATTTATAATGCTTTGGGACGAAAAAGAATAAGAGAAAACATGAGAAAGTGAAGAAATGATGTGACAAAACGTGTTTTACGATATGTTTATGACATTTGATGATACAATGATAATTATTGGATTTATTAGTTAATAATAAATACTCTAATAATTATCATTGTGTCATCAAATGTAATAAAAATCTACACAATAAATGCCATATCATTTAGTAAAAAGAAAAAAAAATGTAAAACATTTAAAAACTCCTAGCATCGCCCTTCTAATTTTGAGGGATCCCAAGAATAATTAATAATTATTTATAAAAAAATATTTTCTTACTACTCAAACTCCTATTTTATAAATATTTGATTAATATGGTGGGGAAATCTATAACTTTCATGGACATATCTAAAAACAGAAGATTATAGGTCGACTGATATGATATCCATTCAACTAGGGGTCAAGTAATCATCCTCTTCTCAATTTTTAAAGATTTTGAGCTTTTTTGTTGGATAATATCACAATGCATGATGATATGAGAGGGACCAGAAGATAGGCGAGAGAGCATTCTTTTAGGTATTTAATGGTCATAGGCTACATTAGAACTTTTTGGAAACACCGAAGTTGGAATTAGAAAATTTAAATTATAGAGACTAAATATAGTTTATCTCTCTTCCCCTTCCTCTTTTTTTTTTTTTGTTTTCTTTATAA